TTTAAATGCAAGAATTATTTCAATTCATATGAATAGCTTATCCAGAAATTATGTAAAACCGCAGTGCTTTACTTTGGTAGTTTATTCTCATTAAAATTGATGAAGTTAACCCTTGACTTTCCGTTTTCTGTATTTTCGCCATCAGGTGTGATTGCATCCTAATTCACTTAAGTACCGTCCACAGGGCATAAAAATTGAACTATCTGGTAAAAATTCTATGTAATTGTAGTATACCAGTATTGAAAGAAACAATCAATCTGATAAGAAATGGCTGCAAATTGTTTTCGAAATGAAGAGTAAAAGGTTACCAGCGAGGATATTCCATTTGGCATCGGTTGTACCATTATTGGCGACTTTATCGTCTGCGCCGGCAAAACGGAAATGTACCGAATTTCCGGTTCTGGAGCTGCGAAAGGATCTACAAAGCGAAAGCACGTTTCGATGTCCATCAAACAAAAAGTGGAATTGCTGCGAAAAATGGATATAGGCATATCCTTTTGTTTCTCTAACCATTCCGAAATCTGTTTATCAATTTCACGCTGCTCTGTGGGAGATCACAGCACGAAATGAACTGGAAGTTGATCTGTCAGCACTATCCTTATCTTCAGGGCAAATGTTTTTATTTTATTCGGCTTATGATTCATTACTACATGTAGAATTTCATCTCGATGTACTCCGTCTTTGATATGATTTAAATAAAATTTGTCATTATAAATATCATGAATACATACCAAATAGTTTTCTGGTTGCAATTTTCTACTTTCGACTATGCGTAATGTATGCTTTATGCATGCATGCATTGAAAGAAATGTTTAATAAAGTAAACAAATAAATATTAAGCTTTTTTTTATAAATTTTGATACCCTTTAGATCATAATTGCTCTTTATTTCATAAATTACGGTTTCATATTTTTTATTTTATAATTTCTGCATGCCATCATACCAGATTTACTGATGATCTATAATCCAGAATCGCCGAAGTCCCGACGAGTCCAGATTAAAGACTTTTGACTGTATAAGAGGTAAATTAAGTAATTAAAGTGAAGTTACTAAAAATACAAAAACATTTTGATATTATGTATGTATGCATATACATTGCTCGTATAAAGAGTTAAATAAATAAATATATATATAAACACGTGCACACACATATACATGCAGGTTTATGAACGAAAAAAAAAATTATAATTCTTTTCTTTTAACACTAGAATTACAGAAGGGGTCATTTTGACACCTAGCGAACTTTTCTCTCTGACAGATCTTCTTTTTTTTCGCAAATATCTTAATTTTTTCTCGATTTTTCCTAAATAATTGTGATTTACGAAACAGTAAAGATTTCAGGAAAATCGTATTTTTATTTTAGCCCTAACAAATGATTATACCTAGAAGTACGGCAGGTGTCATTTTGACCCCTTTGAGAGAAAGGAAATGTGAATACATTCCATTGTATTATCTGAACACTATTACTTCTGTAAACAATTTTTATTTGCACCTGCTAAACAAAATACAAACAAAGGAAAAAAATGTGGTGGGTCTGTGTAGTTTCACATCTGCCAGTCAGATGAAATATGCAGGATACTTTTCTTTGTGGAAAGAAAATAGAGAAAAGAGATTATTATGAGCTGAACGTTGAGTTGAACATTTATAGATTTTTCGTAGATATTTTGTTTATTATTCATAACAAGTTTTAGTGGAAAATTTTATTCTACTTACATGAATTTATTATAGTGATGTACTAAAGGCGCATAGAAAAGGACTAACGCATGAAGAAATCGTGAAACTGATGCAAGAACTATCTAATGCCGATTCTGGTTCTGAAATTGAAAATAATTCTACATATAAAAATGGAAAGGAAACATCTTGTGATTCTTAATTTATTATAGAGAGTAATCAGGAAATATCATCCTCTAGCTCAAGTGAAAGTACAAATGGATTTGTTTCTACGAGTTCAAATTCTGCCGTACCTAAGAATGCCAAAGCGGGAACTAGTAGACGCTCAAAAGGGAATATATAATTCAACGTAATTCAGACTAACACTTGTAAAGAAATTGCTAGTGATGGAACTGTATGGAAAGTAGAAAATACTTCAAATACTTCTGGTCGGCGACCTTTCAAAATATCTGGCGAGAAAATTCTGGACCGACATCCTATGCTAAACATCACATTTGTTATGGTAAAGCTCTTAGTGCATGGAAGTTAACAATAAATGAAAAAAATTTACGCGTCATATAGGAGTGTACTGATGCTAAAGCCAAGTGTAAACTTCATAATGACTCTTTCACTATTTTATTAGCAGAACTGGAAGAATTCATAGCACTGTTGTACGTAAGGGGGGCATTAGCCGCCAAGGGTTTACCAATTCTTAGTTTGTGGTCCAGGACTTGGGGACCAAAGTTTTCTCATGAAACTATGAGTAGAGATAGGTTTTTGGAAAATATTAAATTTCTTCGTTTTGATAATAAACTAACCAGGTCTTCACGTTTGCAGTATGATAAATTTGCACTAATATCCGAGGTATGGAATACTTTTAGAGAAAACTGTAAGCTTTGCTACAAACCAAATGAACCTATTACGACTGACGAACAGTTATTCCCTACAAAAACAAGATGCCGATTTTTGCAGTATATGCCTTACAAGCCCGATAAATTCAGAATAAAATTTTGGCTAGCAGCAGATGTTAGGACGAAATACTTATTAAACGGATTTTCATAGTTAGGAAAAGATGAAATGAGACCAAGTGATCAAAGTTTAGGAGAGAATGTAGTAAATCGTTTAGCTGATCCTTACAAAACTACTGGCCGAAATATAACTTCAGACAGTTTCTTTACATCAGTAATCCTTAAAAAATCCCTAAAAGCAAAAGGATTGAGTCATGTTGGAACAATAAATCGTTCAAAAAGAGAAATTCCCTCTAATTTCAAAAATGTAAGAAACTAACTCTTTTTCTTCAGTTGTGATGAAACATGACTATATAACACTTACATCATATCAAGGTAAAAGGAACAAAAATGTAATTTTGTTAAGTACACTCCATTCATCAGTTGAATTCGAATCTAATGAAAAGAAGGTTCCTGACGTAATAAAGTTTTACAATTCTACAAAATTCGGGATACGTGTTTTAGATCAAATGGCAAGAAAGTACACCGTGAAAGCACCATCATGCCGTTGGCCAGTACATGTATTCTACAATATTTTGGACTTAGTAGGCACAAATGCGTAGATTCTGTGTAAGGAAGTTACAAAAGAAAATATCAGCAGAAGGTATTTTCTATTGCGTTTGGCAGAAGAACTAAGAGAAGAATATATATCTAGTAAAAACAATTTTGTTCTGTCTTCAAGTGGCTTTGTGGATGGACAACAGTCAAAGGAATAAAAAAAAAAAAGGAAGAAATGTCAAGTAAGGAAATGCAAAGTTAACAAAACTTCTAATATTTGCGACATCTGTAATAAATATGGGTACTTAGGTATTAACGCAACCAGGCCAAAATTCGCATAAATCGGCATTTTTGGCGACCCTACTTACGGCAACCGTACATGTTATACGCAGTTTTGTAAAAAGAATTTATTTGTAAAAAGAAAAAATAACACTGGGCGTGTACTACCACAGCAATGGGTTTTCGGCGGAATTTGCTGAGAAAAGAAAGAGACTGTTTTCGTTACTGTACCTAACAGAAGCGCTGTTACCCTCATGGAAAAAATTTGCGAAAATATCAAGGAAGCATCATTTATTCGGATTGCTGGAAAGGATACAATACAAGTGAGTTTGAAAATGCTGGATTTCTGCATGGAACTGTTAATCACAAATATAACTTTGTGGATCCCAACACGGGCGTTCACACACAACAGAGCGCATGTGGGGCTCAGCCAAATGGCACAACAAAAAACAGAGAGGAACAGCCCATCATCATCTTGAAAACTGTATTAAAAATTATCTGTAATTAATAAATGTACATTTTCTTTCTATTCATACTTTTTTACTCAAACTTACAAATCGCACCAACCTGGTTGCGATAATACATAAGTACCTAAATATGTATGCGGATATTGTACACAAAAAATCAGAAAGATAAGCTTGTGGGCTAATTGCTGTGCTGACTAATTAATTATCTATAAATAAAATATTTCTATGTACTCTTTATAGCAAAAAGTTTGTTTTAAAATACTTTAATATTTGGATTAAAAACCACTTTGTTTGGAAACATTTGCATAAATATTTATACATTTTATTTTCTGTGTTTCTGAAATGTAAGCTATCAAAAATGGAAAAAAAAATTACATTTTCCGATGGAAATATTTAAATGCTTGTTCATTATTTGACTACATACCTGCGAAGTCTCTATATTCTTTAAGATAAACTGTAGTTGTCATAATTTGCGTTATTTTAATTTTTAACAAATATATTTTATCATATAGAGAAATATGCAGATATCTTATCAAGGGGTCAAAATGACACCCGCGGTAATTCTAGTGTTAATGTTTTGATTTGCACAAAATTTTTTCACAAAATTTAGATTTGGTAACATAAACCTCGACTTACTGTTACAAGTTGGATCACAAACGCTTACATATACCTTCTTGGAAACTACCAAGGGGCAAACTTTTGACAGTGATTGCTATTTTTACAGCCGACACTAATTTTGATCACTTGACGATTCTCCGTAGGCGTGGAGGGATAAAAAAAGTACTTAATGCTTTTGGTGCATTCTGTGAAAGAAAGGTTCTGCACTTTTCAAAAGTTTTTGTTGACAAAGCTGGCAACACTTTAGAAAACAATACGTTATTTTTCTCAAAACCTCCAGAGAGTTAAAAAAAAAGAGAGAGAGAAGAGTGCACAAATAAAGCATCACACACAGTTTTTGCCATTAAGCCATATCAAACACTGTTGGGACTTTGGCACACATTTAGAGAATGGCACCGAATTAACTGCTAAATAGTGTTTCCACTTAATATGTTAATATCGATATTTTGATGGTATTAAAAAAATGGTGAAAATTGACAAATTACACCTGATAAGCAATTTTATTGATTTTCCCATTTTAATTCAGCATGAAAGAGATCATTGTGATGAGCATCAAATGCAACATATACAAGTATCAAGTCTCTCTTCTACAAGAACATAGAAATAGAGTCATAATTAACAATTTTGTTTTCACATATTGTATTTTTCATATCTCATATGTGATACTTCTCATAACTGAACATCATATCTACTACTAAGAGCTGTTTTTTATGTGTGTGAAAAACTTGACGTATTTACCACATACATGGTGTTTCTCAATAAACAGAGCTATAGAACATTTGTTGCTGATTTCAAGTTTTATTTCCAGTAATTAAAACTCTCTAGATAAGGCTTATCTCACTATTACATCAGACAGTTCACTTAAAAATTCCTTAACAGAAACCTATCTCTTTCATGACAGAAACTGTACAACAATGCTTGATTTATACAATATATTAAAGAAGCTTATGTTTAGTGTGAATATACTACAAATCCTGCTTCTAGCTGATTGGTTTGTTGCATCTATTGCATACAATAAGTTTGTCTTGTTAAATAAGTACGTTAAATAAGGATTTGCGTTATTAAATTTTGCCATCGCATGAACAATTTTGGACATCTCTCCGGTGTGAATATGTATATTTGTTAACTAAACCCTTCTTTTATGTAAATAATTTGTTCCATATATCACACACATGAGCAAAGAGCGAGGAGAAGCACATACATAAGGTTGTGCAGTGATAGTAAAACATATAAAAGGTTTTCCTGTGTGAAAATGTATATGCCCCTAATAAATGCTACTTTTGTGTTAATGACTTGCTACAAGCATAACATAAATAAATAAATAAGGCTTGTCTCCTAAATGGAGAGAAATATTTGTTTGGGTATCTTTATATCTATTTCAACGATGCATCCAGTGCCGCCTATTTTATTACATTCTTAATTTCCCATAGAAGATACGTACACTTCCTACCTTTCTGCATTGCATTATTTTGCTGTCCATGTTTACAGCAATCTGTATTTGCTGGAAGAGGGAAGTAAACTACACAAACTTAGCACTAAAACCCTAAAATGAGAAGGAAAAAAGAATGAGCATGATGACTTTATGCGAGTCACATTATGCTCTATGCATGGAGAAAAACATATAAAAAATTTCACCAGAGATTAAATTCCCATTAGACCATTCATAATCTGCAGTCACACCAGCAAAAATATCCACAAAATTGAAAAGCCTTCTACAGGCATGTAAGCCATATATATAGGCTATTATTACATAAATACTTTATAATGACATGATGCATTGCTTCATCAGTACTTTCTTGTGACTTTCAGTGGGTTTGGAGATAATAAAAAAGTAACAAAGCATTTCCTCCTTAAAACTCAATCCATAAACCAGAAACATAAAGTAATTAAAAAAAATGAAAAACTTCATACAGCAGCACTGTCATTTTCCATCAACAAGTCTTTATGCAAATGACCAAATGGTTGCAGCTTTGGCAACTTGGTAGCCTATGCACCAACAAGTAACCTATGTACATGTTAAGATTTCTGTAATATTTTTAACACAACTGAAAGTAGAAAATCTGCCTTCTTGTCTTTCAATAACAAACTATACAGGTTTTTTTTTTTTTTTTTACATACAAGGGATGTCTTTCAATAACAACATCCCTTGTATGTAAAAAAAAAAAAAAAAACCTGTTGCATGTATCTGCAAAGGCTTTTCATTGGTGTGAATACCCAGTGGTATAAAAAAAAACTTACAAATAGTTTGTTTTATGCATAAAGCTAATGCTTTGTATGGATCTGCAAATGTGTCATTAAATTACACCTATAGTTGAAAGATTTGTTACATATATTACATACATAAGGTTCTTCTCCTGTGTGAATACGTTGATGCACCTTTAAATCATGTGTTCTTGAAAATGAGATGTTACAAATCTTGCATACATATGGTTTTTCTCCAGTATGGATACGCTTATGGTCTTTTAAATGTTGCCTTCGTCTGAATGATTGGCTACATATATCACAAAGATAGGGTTTCTCTCCCGTATGGATACGTGTATGCACCACTAAATCATGTTTTTGAAGAAATGACTTGCTACATACATCACATACAAAAGGTCTATCCCCTGTGTGAATCCGCATATGTGCTATTAGACGTTGCTTTCTCGTAAATAAGCTATTACACACATCGCATACATGAGGTTTCTCTCCTGTATGATTACGCAAGTGCTCTGTTAATGCTTGCTTTTGTCGATATGACTTGTTACACATATCACATACATAAGGCTTCTCTCCTGTGTGAATTCGCAAATGTGATTGTAAATCAGATCTTTGCGTAAATGATTTATTACAAACTGTACAGGCATAAGGCTTCTCTCCAGTGTGGATACGCAGATGTGCCATTAAAACCTGTTTCCTTGAGAAAGACTTGTTACAAGTACCACATACGTGAAGTTTCTCTCCTGTATGGGTAAGCATATGATTTACTAAATTCTTCTTATGTGTAAATGACCTGCCACATACATCACAAGTATAAGGTTTTTCTCCTGTATGGATAGCCATATGTGACACTAAGTGAATTTTTCTCGTAAACGAGTGGTTACATACATTACACACATTAGACACATCCCTACTGTAGGTAAGCAGATGTGCTTGTAATGGAGATTTTGGGGCTGACAGGTTAGTATCCGTATCAGTTGCATGATGTTTCTCTTCTGTATGTGCAAACATGTCTCTCTAGCTTACACAAAAATTTGTAATAAACTTCACATACATAAAATTCTTTATATAGTCTTTTGGTATCACTCATCAGTTAACTCTGTAAATAAAGGAATGCTTCTCATAAATAGACTTTTTAAATATTATCACTTAGCTCTAAAATGGTTTATGATATAATGAGAATAAATTCGAAAAGAATTTACTATTTAATAAAATATCACAGCATATTATTTGTTAGATTAGTTTCTAAAGTTTTCACTAGGCTTCGCACGTACCACAAAAAGGTAATGCATATTGCTTTACATATAAAAACTATGTTTACGGAAGAAATCAGGTTAGAATAGCGCTAATCTGCTGATATTTCGGAAACGTGGAAGGTGCGCTCGCATGTTCCTAAAACGTACTCGCTGTACCTCCTGCTGTGATAGCTGCTTCGCTGCTATTGGTTAGAAGAATATAGACGTAACATAGAGCTTTCGACGTCATTTGTTTTGTCACGTGGTAGTAAAGCTTCTCGAGCCGTTGTAATAAAAAACCTTTTATGGCGCGCCAATCTTCACGTATGCTTCTCCTGCGTGGGCATCAGTTAGAGACAGGGACATGTCTAAATTACAAATTACACAGAACAAGTTGCTGCGCACCTTCACGAATGCGCATTGTTTCGTATCTGATAGGACTTTACACAAGGATTTGAAAATTGAAATTGTAATAGAGCATCTTCATCGCTTAAACTCCAGCTTTTTCCAGAAAGCAGTTACATGCCCTCACATGTCAAAATTACATGTATTTGACTACATTCCACTACTGGAAGACAAAGAGTTACGACCGCTGGCAGCCCACCTAGCCAGAGATCTGAACTTTCCTACATAATGTAGAATATTCCTGTATATAGTTGTATATATTGTGTATAGCTTTTATGAATACTTTTTTTCATTATTTCATCGAAACTTTTATATGATATCTGATCATGCAAACTGCACTTTTCTCACTGTAACTCTATGTCTGCAAATGTATGCTTTTGAGAGTTTGTATTCCTACAAACTCGTTCTGTCATTTAGTATATTCTCACAATAGCTTATCATAAAAACTCATGATTGCTTTACCTTGTACTGCTCCGTCAGCGGGGCGTCTTCTTGTCTGGCCTAATTCCTAGGCTTGCGGCATCTTGCTCGCCTTCACCTCATTCTCTTAACTCCTACCACGTCAGACTTTCTACCGTCATGTGCCTACTGGCTCTCCTCATGAGCTGGTAATAGCGCGCGCACGCGCTACTCCAGCCATACTTGTTCGGATCGGATCCTTTTATGGCGTACAGCGGTTATGTTTTAATCCTTTAAAAAAATTAGTTAAGAAATCAGAGGTGATTTTATGTACAACTGAATTAATTCATATGTCAATATATATTTTTACTTTATGCAGTACACACTTGAGAAATACCGGATCATTACAAAGGAAGGAAAAGGGTTATTTGCTCGAGAGGGTTATATCCATATTCTATTTTGCTAATAGAATGTTGAGAAAACAATATTTAACATAGTTTATTAATGTTTTATCGTAATACAACTACAGTTTTTAAAACAAGATTACAAAGCTTACAGTTATATTTATTATAGCTTACAGTATTATACACATAAAATTTATCTCAGTTTTCACCCTGAGATGAAATCCCAGAAAAAGTATTGTTAATGATGGACTAAATCAAAGTAGTGATATAGAGAAAGCACACGTGGGATCGTTTCCTTTACTGAAAAACATCTGCCAGTCAATTTACAGCAAAATATATATGCTTACATTGCCTATTGTCCATTAAATTAAATATAACCTTTCAATCGCTCTTAATATTATTCTTGTTTTAAAAGTAACTGTTGTCAGTTAATTCTATCAGTAACCTTTACTATGCATAAGGTAGTAAGGAATATACTTTATAGCCACATAAACATTGCTTGGATTATCCTAAATTTTCATTTATATTTTAAAATACACAGTGTCATTTCCACTATCTATTTCTACTTAATTAACTTTTTTTTTTCTAAAGATGGGTATGATCTAGTGTGACAAATTGCATTTTGAATGTATTTTAAATTTACCATTAATATTTTAAACTACATTTTGCACCAATATTTATGTTTGCTCTCCCATTAAGGGAAACATAGAAATAAGTTTTTGTGTTTAAATGTAAGTTATTAAATTAAAATTCCTGTGTTTAATATGAATTCATTGGCAACTTTGAAGAGCATTTGCAAACTAGTTGGTGAGTTAGGAGAGGGATGTTTGTTTGCATATCTTTAAATTTATTTCAACGTTGCATCCACCACCACCTATTGTTTTACATTCTTCTTCTTCAATACAAGACACGCACAATTCTAGGCTTTTTTTTCATCCGTTGTTTTCCCTATAAATCTTTTAAATAAAAAAAAAAAAAAAAAAAAAAAACAGAAAATTGCAAAATTTTGGCACCAGAATCCTAAAATGAGAAAGGAAAGAGAGGCATGTGATGCCTTTTATGTTGTATACATGCAGAAAGATACGTCGCCAAAGATTTTACTATAGACAACAGAAACTGCAGTATATGGTCCACCCGAATGCTGAAGTACTGAAATTCCCATAGGAGGGATCATAATCTGCAACCACACTGGTGAAAATATCTGGAGAAGTGCTGTATGGGAGAATGCTATGTGTATACTTGGGTTGCCACATAAATGATTTTTAGTGACATGTGTAGCCACATAAATTTTTCTTCGCAACATGGTTTAGACCATCAATACTTTTTCACAGCATTCTGGTGAGGTTCAGAAAATTAGAAAGTACCAAAATTCATCATTTTAGAATTATTTTGAGTAAGTTATACACTTTGTGAACTGTGATGAACAAAAATTAATAAGCTGTGCTTCCCTCAAACCAATTTCCTTTCTTCCACATAATGATTTATTTGCATATATCAGAACTTTACTATTGCAATATGCTTTTGGAATGATTATTATTTCATTCTATGAGATTTTTACTATCCCATGACATGCAGACTGAAACTAGAAAAAACGAACAGTTTTCTGTTTTCATTATTTTAGCAAATCAAAAGACCCATATTTATAAAATGAGAACATGGCTAACAAAAATAAAAATGAAATATAAAACTACAATACACAATTATCAGAAGTCAGTTATGATTATACATGACTGTTACAGTTAAATATACTATTTATTGGCACTTTACCACCAAAGAAAACGCACAGACATCACTGCTGGGAAATAGCTACCTCTAAAAATCTGAGATGTAATAAATAATCAATAGGTACCTTTGTCACAATTTGAATTATCATTTTTAAAGCACATTGATACTTAATTATGTTAAAAAAAAAAAAAAAAAAAAAAAGCACTATCCTACTTGATCTGGTTTTCCTAAAGCTGGTGAATGCTTAAGCTGTGAACTCACTAGTTTGACTCATTGATTAAGATAACATAATCTATATGTATGGCTGTTACAGTTATATTATTCTTCAGTTCAGAACTAAGTAGGTGCTACATAGCAAAAATGTAAAGTAGTTTTTTTAAAGTGACCATTGTTTCAGCTAACTTTGGTAGAAAAAATAAGCAGCCCTTAGGTGCTTTGCCATATTCAAATAACCTAACCAAACCCTCGTTAGAACATTATAAGTGACTACAGCTATAGTTGTGCATAGAACTTTGCAAATAGAAGGATAAATAATATAAATTCATTTTTTCCAGATGAATCTTAATACATCAACACCATCAAGGATCACATCCATGGTCTGCATCAACAAAATGCCACATTATGTCATGCATTATGCATCCCCATACAGGTCTGAAACCAAGTGTAATCGTATGGTCCATTACATCCCAGTTGCCTTCATGTTTAATGCTCATCGGTGGCCAGGGCAACCTGTATGAGTGCAATGGGCAGCAGGACATAGGAGCGTCAAATTTTTTAGAATTTTGGCAGGAACTGGAAGGCATAATTTGCAAGCGGTAGTTATTCTATTTAGGTGATAAAATATCTAGCTCTGGCTTCGCTAGCAGCCAAGCAGTAAAGTAGTTGAATACTGATAATTCGACCTGGGTTTACATTCTAGGCGAACAGGTTGGCTGCACATGTGTTTTCATAGTTTTCCGCATATATGAAATATGTATAAGCTAATTTCTCTTTGAAAGTACTCCATGAAAGTATCCTACCCTTAACCAAGTTAATATACTGTAATCAAATAAATTAAACACCCCCCCCAAAAAAACCAGCCTCCATGTTTAATGTGCAGTTGAACAGGTGCCATTGTTTAGGGCTACTGTAAATGATTTATCAGATTTAAAAATTCTAATATTGAAAATATTATGCATATTATAATGATTGAATCCAAGTAAAGAATGAGAAATTATCCAAATTTTCTTTACGTACAACAAATGTTTTGCTGTGTATGTTATGTGAGCACCAGCTACATTATGTACAAAAATACCATGTGAGCACCAGGTGCATTTTGTACATAATGTATTAACAGTACATTATGTACAAAAATGCACTCCTTAATGTTTGCCCAATCGAAGACTTCAAATGTGATAGATGATGCAGTATGGAAACTCGGGGTACAAAAAATGTGAAATCAATAGCCATTTGGAAGTGTGCTATGTGATCAATGTTCATAAAATGTATGTAGCATGCGAGGTAATTTTTTAGTTTCTAGTTCATTTCCATAAAATTGATTATTGTATGTATACTATTTATGAAAAGGCAGTGTTTTTAAAATCTGATGAATCATTTATTATTACTCTGAGGTTTTCGAAGCTCACTGCTGTCTATCTTTAGAGGTTGTCTAGAACTAGTGATCAACAAGGAATGTCTGGCACATAACAGAGAACAACTCCTAAATTCCCACCATTTTTTTTTTTGATCTATTAATCCCTTGATCTATGATTTCATCAGATCTGTTATCTACTGAATATATCAGGCCTATGATTATAAAAAAACTAACGTACCACAGTCTACCCATGGCTACATCAGCTGAACACTGGTAATAACTGAAATCTACTTTTCTCACATATTCTAGGTGCACATCCATTATCTGTTTATCTACATGCAATGGCTGTACGAGGTGGTATACTTTAAGTTTAACTGTTTTTTAAACCATGTACTTTAAGTCTAACTGATTTGCTTACACATGTACAGTTAAACCATGTATTAAAATTTATTTGTATAATAAATATGGCTTTATCTCCTGTCTTCAATAATGTTATGCTTTTAAGGGCCATCAGTGTTTTAAGATTACAACAGTTATTTATATTAATGTTAACCCCCAAAATATTAAATCATTGTGGAAATCTACAAATTAGACAAACTATAATTATCATTTTCTTCTAATATTTAATCTAAAGCAATGGTTCTCAACCTTTTGACTAATGCGTACCATCTAAACAAAAATTGAAAACCTTTAATACCACCACCACTCCTGAACAAAGCTCAAATCACATAAATTTACGAGTGTTAGAAAAAAAACTCAATCAAGATGTTGGGTTTTAATTTTTTAATTTAATAGTTAAAAATACTTTGCTTCTTTGTATACCATGGTTGAAAACCCCTGATCTAAAGAAATGTTCCTATGTTGTTTAGATTCATCCACAATCATTCTGCAAATAAATTGAGGAAATTTTTATATTTTTGTCTATTAACAGTCAAATGGTAACTGCGTTAAGTGATAATATCAGTATAACATATTCACTGTACTGATGATTTTCATACTCTTTCTCAAATGTACACATACCTACTAATAATTTATCTTTTATGCGCTTTTGTAACATACATGTTAAACGTCAGTTTACATATTTTCTAATTAATATTTCTTTCACTTAAATCATCATTTCCTAGAAACTGGTATTGCTGTTTGTTATTAATTTTTCATTAAAATGCTTTCATAAGTTTTTTTTTTCCTTCTCAGAATTTTACTTCATGTGATGAATAAGCATTATTTCCATTAAGTTGGAAAATTTGGATCTAGGAAAATATAAAGTTTGTCCAGTTTTGTCTGACATCATTCTAAATCTCAAAACAAATCTATAGCACATTACTTTAGAGACAATTTTGATTAAAAAATCTGTGCAAAATAACATTAACAAGAGAAGTTATCCTAGCTGTATCTAAGCAAATGTTCTGTGATACATATTTATGTAGGTATAATATATTTATGATATATTTTATTATAAAGATTAAGAGTTTTACTAAACATACATCACTTAACCTAGCTTCATATTTAAAGACACAAAACATTTGTACACTGATCTCAGGCAGGTCATGGCTGGCTTGGTCTTTCATGTATTTTCTAATTCAGAAAAGCAGGTATGAGACAAATATCATTTAGTAGCTTCCATGAGAGCATCTCTCAAGCAAAATACTTGTCAAAATTAATTAATTAGCTTTTAAAGGTACATTAAAAGCATGATGTTATGAAGAAGAGAAAAGTTTCCACAAAGCAGAAAAAAAATCTAAAGTTACAAATTAGCAGGAAATCCAGCCTTAGTCCTACGAAGCTTTATTATAGCACTATTATATTTATTGTTTTAAACTCTAATTCATTTACTCAGAAAAACCATTCTATTAAGAAATTTTATATAACCATCATTAAGAAAAATATATTGTTTTTAATATGTTTTTATATGACTACTTCATTTTAGACAACATATTACTTTATGAAGCCAAATAATAGATATGCAAGACTTAGTTGAATATCAATTGTGTAGATCTTTTGAAATTTTAATATATAATTAGGTGCTTTATTAGTGTTGGAAACATGATTTTGTAAGTAATTATTTTCTTCTCAGAAGACATGCTGTATTTTTGTCTTAAATCTGGCTGGTATTTTCTAGGGAAGATAATCTTTTAGAAGACTTTTGCTTACATTTTTGTTTGATTTATCCCTTAGAAAATTTCATGAATATCATGATGTTGACTGAGCAATGCTACTAAGGCATTAGTTTTATATCATTATGCACAATGGCAAATGGTATGAGAGCGACTAAATGGCTAGTCAATAAGACAGTGATTATTTCTGGTGCTTTTTATATTAAACACGATCTGTAGCTTTCATAAGTATAATAAAATCTGAGATAGAGTTAG